ATTATAAGATTCGCATTGCATTCCCATAGTTTTTCATAATTTATCGGGCTACGATGCACATTTTATTATAACAGAAATAGCAACAGCGTACGAAGGACATGTAGACTTACTCCCAATCACAAAAGAAAAATATATTTCGTTTACGAAAAACGTTCAAAGCACCAAAGATAAAGATAAGAAAACTTGCGTCAAATTGCGATTTATCGATTCGTACAAGTTTCTCACCGCTAGTCTCGATAAATTGGCATCTTATCTCAGCAAGAATAAACTGCGAATATTGCAACGCGAATTTTGTAAATTATCCGCAGAAAATTTTAATTTTCTGACACGAAAAGACGTATTTCCGTACGAGTACATTGACTGCGTCGAAAAGTTGGAGGAGTTGTGTTTACCACCGCGCGACTCGTTTTACAGTTCATTGACAGGTGACACCGTATCCGAGAGCGATTACGCGCACGCCGTCAACGTCTGGCAGCGGTTCTCCATTTGAACGCTCGGTGATTACAGCGATTTATATCTCAACTCAAAACCGATGTCTTGCTGTTGGCCGATATCTTTGAAAATTTTCGCGATAGCTGCGTCGCGAGTTATGGACTCGATCCGGCGTATTATTATACTCTACCGGGTTTTACGTGGGATGCTATGTTGAAGCATACGCGTATCAATTTTGAATTGCTCACCGACATTGACATGGTCATGTTTATCGAACGCGGTATACGCGGCGGTTTGAGTCAATGTTCAAACAGATATGCGCTGGCCAACAACAAGCACATGCAGTCGTACGATCCATCGAAACCGTCGTCGTACCTGATGTATTTCGACGTAAACAACCTGTACGGCTGGGCAATGAGTCAACCATTGTCATACGCCGATTTTCAATGGGTCGACGACGTAACCGATTTTAATGTTATGGATGTCGCTTTGGATTCCTCGATAGGATACATTCTCAAAGTCGACTTGGATTATCCGCAACATCTTCACGACGCGCACACTGCCCTACCGTTCTGTCCGACGCACGATAAACCACCCGGTAAGCGGCAGGACAAGCTCCTCGCAACATTATACGATAAGAAACGTTATGTCATACATTATCGCAACCTGCAGCAGTGTACTCGTCACGGTCTCCGTATATCAAAGATTCACCACATATTGAAATTTGCGCAATCTCCATAGCTTCGCGATTATATAGACCTCAATACGAAATTTAGAACATTGGCCAAGAATAATTTCGAGAAAAATTTATACAAATTGATGAACAATCCAGTGTTTGGCAAAACCATGGAGAATGTGCGCAATAATCACGTTGACGTGCGACTTGTGACTCATTGGGAGGGTAGATACGGCGCGGAGGCAATAATCGCGAAACCAAATTTTCATAGCCGAAGCGTCTTTTCGGAGAATTTAGTAGCAATAGAAATGCAAAAACTCGAGGTGAAGTTCGACAAACCAATCTACGTAGGTATGTGCATCCTCGATATATCAGAGAGAAACCTGAGAGCGGCCATCCCGCTTCAGGGGACGCCTGTCCTAATCTGCTCTCTGAGAAAGTGGACGTCAACTACGGCGTTACGCTCGGTAACAATCAGAGAGATCTCGGGTAACAATACATGGGTTCGTATCCGTGCTATAGTTCGTGTCCGAACTACTCAGATGGAGGGGATGTGCTGGTCGCGCAAGCCCCTCCTCTGTCAGTGTATGCTCGGATTGCTCGGCACTCGGCAAGCTTCGCGCGGGGAGAGAAGGGCAGACATACGATCTGCTGTTTCCTTCTCTCTTGAGCTGTAGAGGCCACGCATTTCGGATATCGCCTCTCATGTCTCGCCGAGTGCCGAGTCTCGAGTTGGCAAATCGATGATGCGCTATGTTACATTTAAGGTAAACATCCCAGTGGCCGGACGGTTAAGCATGATTTGTCATAAATAATACGATTTGTAATATTTAGAAAGATGTTTAATATAAATATTTGTATTCATTCGAAAACTTAAGATTCCCTTAAGCAGGAAAAAATTATTTTAACTCACATATATCAATTAATAATTTAATATTTACATAAATAATGGAGCGTGTCAATGTACCAGTGGCCGGACAGCTGAAATAGGTTGTGGCTTAGTGTCCGGACATACTTGTCCCAGTGGCCGGACAGCTGAAATAGGTTATATAAATTGATAAATTATCGGTGAGTAGTTTTAAAAAGTCTCACATGCAATTAAATGCCTTTAGAAACATGTAATTATTACACTTACCGCAAAAATCTATCGATTCCAACAAGCGACACTGCATGACATAACCTCTCATTTTTTAACAAATTGCGTTCGCACATCCGGCGATTGGGAATTCTGATATTTTTAATGTACCAGTATCCGGACACTCAAAATTATCGTTTTAATTGTGATTTTTAAGATGAATTTCGTCAAAACGAGCTTCTAACTAATCATTAAAATTAGATAATTGATTATTTATTTACAAATATAATTAGATATCCAATTTTTATATTATTAGCTACATGCTTGCGCTTAACGAATCTGTTAACGATTGGCCATCATTTTCACAAACAACAGACACATGCTCGTTTAATCAATTTTTTTAAATACAAAAATGTTTAATTAGGTTTACTTCTTTTTCCCAATTAATTGTTAAATATTAAAGTTTTTTTTACAATAATTATTATTTTCATTTTTAATTGTTTAAATAAATAGTAATATTTTTCTCCAATTTGTCCGGCCACTGGGACGTGTCCGGCCACTGGGATGTTTACTTTATGTTTATATTTACGAGTTTTAATTGTTATATTTATAAATATTGCAATTATATTTATAAAAAAATTGCAAATTAATAAATGAATTTTATTAAACATAAAATCGCGTATGATCATGTACTTCCGTAGTTTTTGTACCGTTAAAATTAAACATAAAATTAATTAATTAAATAAATATTTATAAACATAAAAACTAAAATTCGTAAATGTAATGTATAGAAATTCCTGTTCTGGCCAATATGGTTTTTTATCTAGAAAAAAAGTCATATTAAAAACATTAACTTTGACAAAATATTTAAATTTAATATTTAAATGCATAATAATAGTAAAATATTAACTATCAAGAAAAAAAAGGTAGTTTATAGTGTTCTTTTTACTCTTATTAAATTTGCCAAATCACGAGCACCAAAAGAGGGATATTGGATTAAAATAAAAACAATTTATTATACAAATAATGCACACGGTTAATGTTTCGACTATAGTTAGTCTTCTTCGGAACGGATTATTACGAAAGAAGAAGATAAATATCAAGAAACATGATAATTAATGTTCATTTAACATACTAAAACATTAAACATTAGTCAGACTAAAACATTAAACAATCACCTAACAAAATAAACAATAATCTAATTGAATCACAAATATAAAAACGCCGGAATAATCGAATAAAACCATGGCAAGATAAATTTATATTTATATTGAGAAGTGGTAAAATCTCTTCCGTCAGGAAGAAAATGTAAAAAATTATTAACGGGGGTATTTTGATTTAAAAGATCATTAAAATATATATTTTGCAGGAATTTTTTATAAGGAAACGAAGAAAGTGAATAATGTTAAACTTTGCATGTTCACTTCACCTTATTTTAAAATTTTATTTTTATTTTTTAAGTAACAAAAATGCTTTTCCTTTCTATTATATTATAGGTATTCTGGTCACTAGAAGGTATAAATGACAGACGGTGTAAATAATTCTAGCTGTTCTATAGGTATCTGAAACGCAAAAAGCTAAAATTTTCTTATTCAGAAGAAGTATATGTGGTTATCGTCTGAACTAAAACTAAACCAATATTTCTATTCTAGGCAGCCTTTTTATCAAAAATATTATTAATCAATATTAAATAAACAATTTACGGTCTGAGCTTGAATTTTATAGTAGCCTAATAATATTTTTTATATACTATATTTACATATTTTTTTCAACCTTAATAAACTACGCGCCGACTAACTTGTCAGACTTATAACACAGCTCCTATTGGAGTAGTAAAATCCCCTCACTCCCCTCTAATTAAATCGATTTAAATAATGTTGGAGTAGTAAAGAATTTACTACTCCAACAGGAGCTGTGTTGTAAGTTTGACAAGTTATGTCGGCGCACAGTTTATTAAGGTTGGAAAAAATATACGTGTAATACACAAAAAATATTATTAGGCTATTAAGATCCAAGCTCGGACCGTAAACGGCTTATTTAATATTGATTGATTGTATAACGGTCATAAAACGGGGGGTCTTATTTCTCTTATATTATTAAAAATATTATAACTTTTTTTTTAATTTTGTTAGTATTTTATTAAAAGAAAAAAACTAATAAACGTGTTTTGAATAGGCCTCGTGGCCTCCACGCAGTTGATCGAGCGGCTGCTTCCTCAGAATCGGGCGTGGTCGATAAAGAAAGGGATTCACTTCTCTGCGTTGAATATTAATTATAAAGTCACTCGGATGGTACAATAAAAGCACGGTCTATCGCTCGACTTAACGGCACGTGCGATTCGTACGACGATCACGATGATTCTCTGCGGTAGTAGTGGCGGCAGTGGTGGGAGACGCCGCTGCGAGCACGGCCGTAACTAGGCGGAATACTACGAGAGCGCCCGCGAATAGCAGGCACGACAACGCGGGGTAATCGTGGATCGGTAAAGCAGGAGCGGACCCGGTTACACATCATACATCGCCGCCCCCCTTGAAAGGACGTACTTTCAAAACAAAAGAACAAAACGTAAAAAGTAGTCTCTTACATCAGAATGGTTACATGACACTCCTTCGAATTGGAGTCGCATATAGTACAAAGATTAGTATAACTAAGTTTGGAATCTAAGATGACTAGGTCAAACATAAAATAAAATAGCATTCGCACTTATGATTAAATAGACGCTTGTGATATAGGAGTGGCAACCAAAGGGCTTCGCAAAAATCTTAACGCTAATTATGACTGAACGCGAAGTTTGACGTCCACGCGAGACGAGTATACTTAAGTGTCTATGGGTAACACCGCGAGCTTAGAAAGAGGTCTTGTGAAGTCACCTTTCGCTGTTCGGACGGTGGCAACCCTCGTGACGCCGTCGGCTCCGGTGTGAACATTCTGAACTCGCCCCAACAGCCACTGCAAAGGAGCTAGGCCTTGCTGTTTTATGAGCACTAATTGCTCGGGTTTTAACTGTACGCCCTTGTTGGCCTTCCATTTGGTTCGTTCTTGCAAAGAATTAAGGTACTCAGTGCTCCATCTATGCGAAAAATGTTGTCTTATTTGCTCTACTCTTTGCCAGCGCGTAAGCCGATTTTCGTTAATGTCTTGTAAGTCGTGACAAGGGAAACTATTCAAGGCTGTACCGACAAGAAAATGACCGGGACTGAGATACGCGAGATCATTTGGATCGGCGCTCAGTTGCGTGAGTGGTCGCGAGTTCAGGATTGCTTCCACTTCGCAGAGTACCGTCTGCATTTCTTCGAATGTTAAATGCGCTTGGCCTATAATTCGAGTCATGTGATACTTGGCCGACTTTACTGCGGCTTCCCATAGACCGCCGAAGTGCGGCGCGTTAGGCGGGATAAAGGACCAAGAAGTTTCCTGCTCGCGAACAAACTGGTTTATATCGTCTCGAACCTGATTATCGTTAATTAAGTCGTAGAACTCTTTGATCTGCTTATGCGCCCCTACAAACGTGGTCCCATTGTCGGAATATATGCAAGCGGGTTTGCCTCTTCGGGACATGAAACGCCGGAGTGCGCTAAAGAAGCTTTCCGATGTGAGATCACTTACTAATTCGATATGTACGGCTTTCGTGGAGAAACACACAAAGATAGCGATGTACGCCTTGTGAAAGCGGGCATTACGTCGCTTGCCCTCCTTTACCATGACGGGTCCGGCATAATCGACACCACAATGCGAGAATGGCCTTGAAACGGTAACGCGAGTAGAAGGCAACGAGCCCATTATAGCTTCTGATTGGCTCGGTTTAGCTCTGAAGCATGTTACGCAGTTTCGGATAATTTTTCGCGCGGTTGAGCGCAGCGACAAAGGCCAGAATCTCTGCCTGACTGCGGCCATAGTTGCCTGAGTGCCAGCATGCATGTTACGCACGTGTTCTCGTCTTATCGTACGTTTTGTGAGCTCATGATCGCGAGGTAGTAATATGGGGTGGCACGCGTCGAATTTTAACTCAGAATTCTTTAATCTACCCCCCACCCGGATTAGCCCGGTTTCGTCTATGAAGGGAGACAGGGAAAGTATCTTGCTGGACGCGCTAACCGAGTCCCCTTTGGTCAGCGCTCTGTACTTGTCGGGAAATGAGCTTCTTTGCACTGCTTTGCACACAACGCCCAACGCGTGCGACATCTTGTTGTGAGAAACGGATTCGGTGGCCGGAGTCGGCCAATGCGCCTTGTTGAACCTGAGACAATACGCTATGATGCGGCATATCTTGCCCAAGTTTGAATGCTTTTTGATTAATCCGTCGACGATCGAAGGACTGATGATGACGACGGCTGCCGCTACTTCTCGTGTTTCGGGAAAATCATCTCCTAGGCGAGTGATGTCCTTACTTGGCCAGCGGTCTTCTTCGTATTGCAGAAAGGTAGGTCCATGCCACCATAAACTTGCTTCCACGAGTTCGTGCGGATGTAGTCCGCGTGATAGTATGTCGGTGGGATTGTCTGTGGACGGAACGTGCCTCCAATCTTCTATCTTGGTTTAACGTTGTATCTTACCAACTCGGTTGGCAACGAATATCTCCCACCTCCGGGAAAGCGAAGTTATCCAGTATAGTGTGATGGTAGCGTCAGACCAGAAAAACTTCTTGAATTGCGTCGATCGATGTGCTGACCTTGTCCATCAATTCGGCCAATAACAATGCCGCTTGTAGCTCCAGCCTTGCCAGCGATATGACCTTGAGCGGGGCCACGCGGGATTTCGAGCAAAGCAACTCGGTGCGGTAGCTGGTGCCGAGTTTTGTCCGAAGGTATATACAGGCTCCGTATGCTTTTTGGCTGGCATCGCAGAATCCATGTATTTGTATTAGCTGGGGATCCGTGGCAAGCTTGACGCACCGCGGAACTCGTACTTGTTTCAAGACCGACAATTGTTCCTTCAGCCTTGACCAACGCGCGTGGATGTCTTGTGGCACTGACTCGTCCCAATGGCTACCTGACTTCCACAGGTCTTGCAGGATGAGTTTCGCGACCACGATGACAGGTCCGAGAAGACCGAGGGGGTCGAATAACCTGGCAACGCCGGATAATATTGTGCGTTTGGAGACAGTACTGTGGCTCTCCTGAGTGTCGTGAGAAACTTGAAATGTGTCTCTGATGTGATCTCATTGCATTCCGAGAATGCGTGAGTTTGCATCGCTGCAAATTTCTACTGGCTCGTGGTTCTGATCCTGGACGTCCTTTAATAATTCCGGGCAATTGGATGCCCAGTTGCTTAATTCGAACGCTCCTAATCGTAGTATTTCCACCACTTGATGGCGAACTATTTCTAGATCCTTCTTTGTGTTGGCCCCGGTCGCGACGTCGTCCACGTAACAACCTTCCTTGAGGTGGATCGATCCCACCGGGAATCTCAATGCGTTTTTCTCGGCTAGATCGTTCAGGCATTCCGTGGCTAGATATGCGGCAGCTGCGGTGCCGTAGGTGACCACCAGGGATTCGTATGCCTTGACGTCGTGATTGGGCTTGCTCCGCCACAATATTCGTTGAAGATGTGTCTGCGATGGGTCGACCAGAATCTGCCGATACATCTTAATTATATCGGCCACGAAAACGTATAGAAAGAAGCGGAAGCGAATCAGGAGGGAAATCAACTCTGGCTGGACGACTGGTCCCACTCTGAGCGCGTCGTTTAGAGACACTCCAGTAGTAGTTTTGCAGGATGCATCGAATACCACACGTATTTTGAGTGACTGCCCAGCCATTTTAACTACACTGTGGTGAGGCAGGTAGACGGCCGGCGGGTCATCATCAGGTTGCTCGTCTACCAATTTCATGTGGCCGAGTGCGATGTACTCCTGCATAAAGCGCACGTAGTGCTCCTGTAGGTTGGGATCACGCTTGAAACGCCTCTCCATGGCTAGCAGTCGCTTCATCGCGATGTCCCTGGACTGTCCGATTTTGGCCATCACGTGCTCCTTCACCGGAAGCTTCACAACGTATCTACCGGACTGATT